TGACACCACCAGAGTCCAAGGACTCCACACAGCAAGACCTGAACATTCAGACACAGGTAAAGCAGTGGAGAATGACCCTAAAAACAACTTTTTGTAGTGATAGAGACCCTAAGACAGGTAATGAGAAAACCCCTTAAAGAAATGGAAGAAAAAACAAACAAAAAAATTCAAGAAATGGAGGAAAAGACAAACAAAAAATTACAAGAAACAATTCAAACTGTGCAAGGTTTGAAATCTGAAATATAGACGATAAAAAACACCATCTGAGGGAATGCTAGAAGTAGAACAGCTGGGTAAACAATCAGGAACTACAGATGCAAGCAAAACCAACAGAATACAAGAGATGGAATAGAGACTCTCAGGCGTGTGTAGTGAAGACACACTAGGATAAATAAATGCACTGACCAAAGAAAATCTTATGTCCAACATATGCCTAGGACAAACTATCCAGAAAATATGGCACACCGTGAAAAGACTAAACCTAAGAAAACTAGGTATAGAAGAAAGTGAAGAGACACACCTCAAAGTACAGAAACATATTCAACAAAATTATAGAAGAAAAATTTCCCAACCTAAAGAAAGTACAAGAAACAGAAGACCAAATAAGTGAACCACAAAAAAGTCCCCTCGTCAAATAATCAAAACACCAAACATACAGAATAAAGAAAGAATATTAAGAGCAGCAATGGAAAAAGATAAAGTAACATATAAAGGCAGGCCTATCAGAATTACACCTGAATTCATCATGGAAACTCTGAAAACCAGAAGGTTCTGGATAGATATTCTACCAGCACTAAGAGACCACAAATGCCAGCCCAGACTACCATACCCATCAAAGCTTTCAATCACTATTCCATGACAACAGCATATTTAAACAATACATATCCACCAATCTAGCTCTACAGAAAGTTTTGTAAGGAAAACTCCAACCAAGGAAGTTAACTATACCCACAAAAACATATGCAAATAATTTCACTTTACCAACAACCAAAGAAAAAAGTGGGGAGGGGAAATCCACATGCAACAACAAATCCAAACAAACAAGAATTAACAATCAATGGTCATTAGTATCCCTCAATATTAATGGTCTTAACTCGCCTTAAAAAAAAAACACAGGGTAACAGAATGGATGGGATGACAGAATCCATCCTTCTACTATATACAGAAAAACACACCTCAACATCAAAGACAGATGGTACATCAGAGTTAAGGGATGGGAAAAGATTTTACAATGAAATGGACCCAAAAATCGAGCTGGTGTAACAATGCAAATATCTAACAATTATACTTTAAACTAAAATTAATAAAAAGAGATGAGATGAAGAAGGTAATTTCATATTCATCAGAGGAGAAATCCATCAAGATGAAGTCTCAATTCTTAACATCTATGCCCCAAATACAAAGGCATCCAAATTTGTAAAAGAAACATTACGAAAACTCAAATCACACAATAAAAAACACATACACACTTAAAGTGGGAGACTTCAACACCCCACTCTCACCACTAGACAGGACCACCAGACAGAAACTTAACAAAGAAAAAAACGAACTAACAGAAGTTATGGACCAATTGGATTTAACAGACATTTATAGAGCATTCCATCCAAATACAAAAGAATATATCTTCTTCTCAGTGCCACTTGGAACATTCTCTAAAATTGACAACATATATCAAACCTCAACAGATATGAAAAATTGGAATGACCCCATATATTTTATAGCATTACCATGCTTTAAAGTTAGAATTCAACAACAATACAAATTGCATAAACGATACAAACTCATGGAAACTGAAAAAGTGCAACTGCACCATTCCTGAGTCAAGGAAGAAATAAAGACTTCTTAGAATTCAATGAGAATGAAGACACGATATACCCAAATATATGGGAAACTTGACTCAGTACTAAGAGGAAAGATCATAGCACTAAGTGCCCACATGAAGAAAGTGGAGAACAGTCACACTAGAGAATTAACAGCACAAATGAAATCTCTGGAATAAAGAGAAGCAAACTCACCCTAGAGGAATAGATGCCAGGAAATAATCAAACTGAGGGCTGAAATGAATAAAGGAGAAACAAAGAAAACAATAAAAGAATCAGTGTAACAAAGAGTTGGTTCTACAAGAAAATCAACACGATAGACAAACCTTTATCCAAACTAACTAAAAGGCAGAGAGAGAACATGCAAATTAGCAAAATCAGAAATGAAAAGGGGTACATAACAACAGACGCTGAGGAAATTCAGAGAATCATCAGGTCATAGTTTAAAAACCTATAATCCACAAAACTAGAAAATGGAGAATTTCCTGGATACATATCACTTACCAAAATTAAATCAATAACAGATAAGCAATTTAAATAGACCTGTAACCCCTAATGATATAGAAGTATTCATCAAAAGTCTCCCAATCAAAAAAAAGCCTAGGGTCACATGGTTTCAGTGCAGAATTCTACCAGAAATTCAAAGAATACCAACACTCCTCAAAGTGTTCCACACAATAGAAGCAGAAAGGTCATTGCCAAACTCTTTTTAAGAGGCTACTATTACCTTGGTACCCAAGCAACCCAAGACACAGCTAAGAAAGAGAACTACAGACCAATATCTATCATGAACATTGATGCAAAAATACTCAATGAAATATGGGCAAATTGAATCTAAGAACACATCAGAAAAGTCATCCACCCTGATCAAGTAGGTTTCATCCCAGGGATGCAGGGGTGGTTCAACATATGAAAATCTATCAATGAGATCCACCATATAAGCAAACTGCAAAAGAAAAATCGCATGATTATCTCACTAGATGTGGAAAAAAATCCTTTGAAAAATTCAACATCCCTTCATTATAAAAGTCCTGGAGAGATCAGGGATAACAGAAACATACCTAAACATAATAAAAGCAAAATACAGGAAACCAACAGCCAACATGAAACTGAATGGACAGAAACTCAAGGCAATTCCTCTAAAACCAGGAACAAGACAAGGTTTTCCAGTCTCTCTATTTCTCTTCAATATTGTACATGAAGTTCTAACTAGAGCAATAAGATAACAAAAGGAGATTAAGGGAATATAAATTGGAATGGAAGATTTCAAACTTTCACTATTTGCAGATGATTTCATAGTTTACATAAGTGACCAGGAAAATATCTACCAGGGAACTCCTACAGCTGATAAATACAATCAGAAAGTGGCAGGATACAAGATTAACTCAAAAGAAAAACCAGTAGCTCTATTATATACAGATGATAAATGGGCTGGGATTCTTGAAATTTGCAGGCAAATGGATGGAACTAGAAGAGAACATCCCTAGTGAGGTAACCCAGTCACAGAAAGACAAGCATGGTATATACTCACTCATATATGGATATTAGACATAGAGCAAAAGTATACCAGCCTGCAGTCAATACCACCAGAGATACTATGAAGCAAGGAGGACCCTAAGAGTGAAATGTATGTTCTCCGGAAGAAGGGGAAAGCAATAAGAACTCCTGAGCAAAATGGGAGCATGGGGAGGGGGGAATGGGAGGGAGATAGGAAAAAGAGAGGGGAAGAAGAGGAGTTGGGAGGAAGACATGAGGGATCAGGAAGATTGAATCAGGGGATGAATAGAGGAGAGCAAGAAAAGAGATACCTCAATACAGGAAGCCAGTATAAGTTTAAAGAGAAAACTGGCACTAGGGAAAAGTTCAGATCCACAAAGATGGCCCCAACTGAAAATCTAGGCAGTAGTAGAGAGGCCACCTTTGATGCCCTTCCCCTATAATGAGATTGATGACTACCTTAATTGTCATCCTAGAGCCTTCATCCTCTAGCTGATGGAAGCAGAAACAGGCCTCCACAGCTAAGCACTGAGCCATATTCCTGGAATCCAGTTGTAGAGAGGGAGGAAGGATGAGCAAGGAGTCAAGACCGTGCTGGAGAAATCTACAGAACCAGCTGACCTGACCTAGTTAGAGCACAGGGACCCCAGTCATAATGTGGGTGCCAGTTAGGAGGCCTGGACAGTTTATGAGTCCTCTAACAGTGGAACCAGTATTTTTCCCTAGTGCACAAATGTACGTTGGGAGCCTATTCCCTATGGAGTGATATTTTTCACCCCAGATACATGGAGGACAGTCTAGGGCCACCCCAAATGATGTGACATTCTTTCCTGATCCTCCATGGAGGGCCTCACTGTCCTTGGGAAGTGGGTGGGGTGTGGATTGGGGGAGCTGGTAGGGTGTATGGGAGGGTGGGATGAAGAGGGAGCCAGTGGTTTTGATATGCAAAATGATTGTTTCTAAAGAAAAAAATAAGAGGCAACCTAAGGTCAAGCATTCAAAACTAATAATATATCTCTATTGCCATGATTTGGGAGCTGGTTGATGCCCCAAAAGAGAAAGCCTGGTACACACATCCGTGGCCAGAGTTCTGCTTACAATCTACCCCTTGCTGGGAATTCTGTGGATGAGTGTACCCACCTGTGGCACCTGGCTAAGAGCACAGAGGGAGGGGCAGCTGACCTGGCACTCTTGAAGGTGGCAGTGTTGGGTTCAGTCACCTGTGAGCCCATCAAACCTCAGGAAGGTGTCAGAGAGAACCATCAGCACCCCTACTGCATATTAAATACAAGAGTGGAGCTTGGTCTTCCTGGTGTCCACCTTGACCAGTGTGTGTGTGTGTGTGTGTGTGAATGCGTGCGTGTGTGCCCATTGTATATATTCATATTTATTTGCCTGTGTGCCTGTGTGGAGACCAGAAGTTGACTTTGGGTGTCTTCTTGTGTTATTCACCTTTTTTGTCCTCTGGACAGGGTCCCTTCTCTGACTCTGAAGCTCGCTGTTTGGCTGAGCTGTCAGAAACCTGCCTGGACCCACTTGTCTCTCCTCCACCCACAGTCCTGGGATTGCCGGCATGAGCCACCATGCCCAGCCTTTACATGAGGGTTAGGAACAAATCAGGTCCTGATGCCCCTGAAGAAGGTGCTTTACCCACTAGCCATCTCTGCAGCCCCCACTGCTTACTTTTTGATGGCAAACACGGTCAGTCCAACCGTGGTGTTCTGAAGCCTGAACTGCTCGTTCAGAATGTCGATGTTGAAGGTCCCTTCCCAGATGATGGGAGCCAGCCAAGGAGTCAAGACAAGAACGTCTTTCCTGCTACATGGGGAGAGAGCCACAGGCAACACGTGACCAAACATGCTGCAGGAACCTTCTCAGATTCCACACCCTCAGCTTCCCCCAGGGCCGCCCACCCTCCCAGAGTGGGGCCTGAGTCAGTCAGCATCAGCTCTCTCTGACTAAGCCCACCCCACTCCACCAAGCTCTGAAAGCAGCTGGGTTTACAACCACTGCACCCAGCACGTCTCTGAAACTCCGGTGACAGAGACAGGAAACAAGGAGCAGAAGCCCAGATGGGAAACAAGATGCTCTGGGCTCCAGATCTGAATCAGACAACCCTGAGACTCTGAAAGGGTTGGAGGAGTCAGGGCAGTGACAACCAGAATCAAGCTTTGGTTTTTTCTGAGTTGTGTTTTTCCCAGTGCTACAGACTGACCCAGGGCCTCGGGTGCCCTACTGAACTATTCCCCACCGTGAGCAATCGTCCTTGAGTTCCTTATGACTCCTGCTCTACACATGCACTGACTAAATCTACTCACCTGGGTGTCAGCGCCTTTGGCTGGGCATAGACCATCCTGCAAAAAGACAACACAGGCACTCAAGGGGACAGGACGGACAGTGGGAAGCATGTCGCTGGTAGCCATGGACCAGGCACAGACCTGAACTTGGGCTGGCAACCAGGAGCTGTGCCTGTCCATGATATTGGGAGCCAAGGATTGACTGAAGCAGGAAAATGACAGTCTTACTTCGTTAAGGTAGGGAGAGGAAAGCATGACACCCTCCCTCCACTTAAGGTTGGAAGAGCTAAGGACTACATTAATTCACAAGTCACATAAGGCTGGACACTTTTGTCCCTGGTCGATGTATACCTGTCAACCTGGGCCTGTAGTCTGCCTTGGGCCTTTCCTGGCTGAAGTCGCACAGAGTCCTGGCTCTCTGTCTGGGTCAGAGACCAGCCCCAACATCAGTGTTAAGTTCCCCACCAAGATCAGTCCCCAAGGGTCAGGAGCCATCTCTGCTCGGGAGCTGCATGCCCTGTGACGGCTTGTAAAGCAGAGAGCAGGGCTGGAGAGATGCTCGGCAGTGAGAGCACTGACTGCTCTTGCAGAACAGCTGGATTCCGTTCCCAGCACACACATGGAGACCACACCCTTCCGGAACTCCAGTCCCAGGGAACCCAAAGTTCTTTAATGGCCTCTTTGGGCACAGGCATGAATGTAGTGCGCAGACATACATGGAGGCAAAACACTCATACTCATAAAACAAAAACGAATCTCTCTAAGGCAGTGAATGAACCTTTTTAATAAAACAGAAAATTTCTACACAGGGATGAGGCTTGATGACGCCTTATTGACTGAGTCTGACCAGTCACATAAGAGAAGCCCTTCATGACCCCATCCCCAGGAGGCACTACTACAGAGTGGCCAGGCTCAGAGGAACAACACAGAACAGACAAGATGGGGGTGAGGTCCTGCAACAGGGCTGGGCAATAGGGAGTCAGTGTTTGGTGGATATAGTTTACCAGATGGAATGATCTAGAGATGCACGGTGGGGATAGCTGTACCTCAGCATGAACGTGCTTACTGCACTGAACTCTTGCAATGGTGAGGATGGTAAACTCGTGTGTTGTGAATGTTGCCCTGGGAATGGGGTGCACAGCTGTAAACTCAGCTCTGTACCAGATGAGCCAGCCTGGCTCTTTAAAAGCGAATGACATGCAGGTGGTCAACACAGAGTGTAGGGCTGTGTTCTCATCTTCTGGTGCAGGAAGGGACTTCCCAGCTGCCCATACTTACACATACACACATACCCCTCCATCCACACCCCTCAGCCCATGGCTGGAGAGCACCACAGGAGGGCAGGATACCTTGACAGGGCTACAACCTCCTGGACATCCAGCTCTCCAACAGCCACTCTGCGGAAGGACAACACAGAAGACAGGTTTAAACCAGGAGGGGTCAGGGGTCAGGTACAGGGCCTGGAGGAAGGGGAGTGGTGCCTGAGGGTACATGTGTTCCAATATACTAAAAAAAAAAAAAAACAGCACATAATGATCCTCCCAGGCACTATGCAAACTACATGGAATCAACCACTGTCATACCATAGATTCTGATGTCAAACACTGTAGTCAAGGTTCTGACTCACACTCATCAGCCGCTCCTGAGTGGAACCTGAGCAAAAAGGAGTTCCAGAACACAGAAGAAGCCCCAGTGCCCAGCCATCAAGAAGTGGAGTCTATTCCTTGTTATTGAACAGATAAACTGAGGCAGCAGTGCCTGGATGACTTCAAACCCGGCTTCTGAGTGGCTGGACTAACATCATAATAAGTCACCTGCCCAGAACCATCCGACCTGGCAGAGAGGAAGCCCAGTCGGCACCAGGGATGGGCACTTTAGCTGAGGGCCATCCTGAACCACCAGAAATTGAGACCTCCAGGGAGACCCACCTAGCTCTGCATATGACCTCAGGCACCTCCTGAGAGACAGTCATCAAATGTGTGACTGCCTCCCAACACAAAACAGGATGGGACAGAGCACTTTGCAGCACTGGAAAACTGACACAAGAGGGAACTGTGGGAACAAAGAGCAGCTGGGAGGCAGTGTAGCCTAGTGGGAAGCACAGCATAGATGAAGACTAAGCCCAGCCCCGCTCAAGGGCAAGCATGGCTTGTGCAGGAATGCGGAGCTGCAGGCTGCTGGAGAGGGTCATCAGGCAGGACCCCGTTTCAGGAAGCCTCCTACCTTCTGTGCTGAAGGATCATTAGCTACTGTGAGGAAAGCAGGGATGAGACAGACAGGCAAGCTTGGGGCTCATGGAAGACCACAGGAGGCCCAGGAAAACAGGCAAAGCCAAGGGATGCCTTCCCCAAAGGCAGACTGACAGGATCTGGGGAATGTGGGGATGGAGGGGCCTCTAACCTGGGTCTGTATATTGAAGGCAAAAGCCCTTGCACTCAGCAGGCGGCTGGGGAGGGGGGTGGGGAATAGAAAGTGTCCTTGGGCTGACCAGGTAGGTACAAAAGGGAGGATGAAGCTGAAGTCAGAAACAACAACAGTGTTTCCCAAAACACACTCCCTCTAAAGACAGCAGGGGGCAGCTGGGGCCGCTCTGGGCAGCCTAGAGTAGGACATGACCCATCCATGTAGAAGGACAGGCAGAGGCCACGAGACAACATGCAGCAGAAATTTCATCCAACCGGTAGCCCATACACACACACACACACACACACACATAGACACACACACACACACACACACACACACACACACACACCATACACAAACATACTCACCTAGTCATAGCTCCTGGGGTTCCCAATTCCTGGCTTCTGTGGCTCACGAACCCATAGCTGTGGGACGGACATGCACAGGGGCAGCTGTTCAGGACACAGACCTGCATCTGGCTGTCTGTGCCTCCCTCCAGAATGTTCCCCTGTATCCAGCACAGTGAGCACAGAATTCCCAGTTGGATGCAGGGCCATGTGACAGGACTAAGCATGCCCACCCCACTGGAAGAAGAGGCAGCAACAGGAAGGACCTGGGGACAAGGCCTGCATCTGGACACCTGTAGCAGTTGCAGGCAGCCCCTTCTCAATGCCAGTTACCTGTACCACAAGACCACACCAGGGAGTGTTCTTTGGCTGTGTCTACAGAAGCCCCAGCAGACATGGCAGTTTCTTTGCTCTGTGAGGGTCACAGACCATCTGCACCTAGAGAGGACTGCCTCCAATCCCTAGGCCTGTCTCCCTCTCCTTCCCTAGACCACCACATTGCTAAGGCCAATCCCCAAACCCTTTTTTGGACTCAAAACAAGTTTACAAGAGAGGCTTTTCACTATGGAGATAAGCAAAAGCAGGACAAGCCAGTGTGGGAGTGACTAAGAGCACCCTCATCACTGCCATTATGCTAGTGGGGATGCTAATGGCTCAGGGTCCCCATCTCATGAGCTGTTCCTCACCAGCCTGGATTCTTACCCAAAAAAGACCAAGGCAAACACTATGAAGGGAAGGATTCCAAAGTGAAGTGAGCAGCGTTTTGGTCTCCCTGAAAAACAGCAGCACAGGATCCAGTTACTCACCCCTTTCCTCGACCTGACTCCTAATTCGGAGGTCATCCTCAGGACTGCAGTTACCTATCTCGGGTAGATCCAACCTCTAAGGGAGCTCCATCCCCACTGAGAAGCCAGAGGGAAAGAACGTTGTTACTTCCAGCTCATGACTCCTGCTGCTCCCTTAGACCCTCAAGGCCCCCAGGTCCCCCATGTCCTCATGCCACTGAGCACCCCTTCCTGTGGTTAGCTGAAATGAACCAAAGTGAATGTCTTGGGGTCACTGCTGGCTCCATCAGAGGAGGCTAGGACCAGCCCCCCACCCCAGACCCCTGTATGCTCACATACATGGGGACAGCAATGGATCTGTTCTAGTGACTTTTTCTCATGCTGGGGTTGAAAGCCAGAGCTGAGACAAGTACTGCATCTCTGAGCTATGCTCAAATGATTTTCATTCCTTTAGAAGGTATGTATTTTCATAATTATGTCCAAATGCACCTAAAAGACACATATATAATTTGACTCAGAGTGTCTTCTGGTCCTTTGCCGGTGCTTAAGGTGAGTGGCAGCACTACTCTTAGCCCCAACTCCCTACATCCCCGGCTCTGTCTCCTTGGGCATTTTCTGCACCTAGAGAAGACCTGCCCCTCCCGGACGGACCACCCTGAGTCTGCCCACACCTCAGTCTTCAGTGTCTGGTCCTTTCCCAGTGCTTAAGGAGAGGAAGAGACCCCGCTAGCTCCCACTGAAAGAAAGGATGGGAAGAAGGCAATATAAAAACACAGCCAACAATAGAGGAACAAGCATGACACCACCAGGGTCTAGAAACTCTACACCAGCAAGACCTGAGCATATCAACACAGATGAAACAGAAAAGAATGGCCTTCACAACAACCTCCTGAAAGTGATAGAGGCCCTCAATGAGGATATGAGAAAATCCCTTAAAGAAATGGAAGAAAACACAAACCAAAAATTGCAAGAATCAACAAATCTCTTGAAGAAAGCAAGCAACCCCAAGAAAAACCAATCAAACAGATGAAGGAAACAATTCAAAAAGTTCAAGGCCTGAAAACCGAAATGGAGACAATAAGAAAAACACAAACTGAGGTAATGCTGGAACTTGAAAGCTGAAAAAACACTCAGGAACTACAGATGCAGGCATAACTAACAGAATACAAGAGATGGAAGACAGAATCACATGCACTGAAGAAAATAGATTCATCAACAAAAGAAATTCTTAAATCTAACAAATCCTTATCACAAAATATCCAGGAAATATAGGACACCGTGAAAAGACCAAATATAAGAATAATAGGTATAGAAGAAGGCGAAGAAGCCCAGTTCAATGGTACAGAAAACATATTCAGCAAAATCATAGAAGAAAGTTTTCCCAACCTGAAGAAGGAGATGCCTATGAAACTATAAGAAGCTTATCAAACACAAATAGACTGGACCAAAAAAAAAGTTCCTTCGCCACATAATAATCGACTAAAAAACGAATATTAAAAGCAGCAAAGGAAAAAGGTCAATTAACATATAAAGGCAAACCTATCAGAATTACACCTGACTTCTCCATGGAAACTATGAAAGCCAGAAAGTCCTGGATAGATGTTCTACAAACAATAAGAGACCACAAATTCCAGATCAGACTACTATTCCCAGCAAAACTCTCAATCATTATAGATGGAGAAAACAAGATATCCCATGACAAAACCAGATTTATGCAATATGTATCCACAAATCCAACCCTACAGAAAGGTCTAGAAGGAAAACTCCAACCCAAGGAAGTTAACTACACTCAAAATAACAAGGGCAATAGATAATCTAACTGTACCAGAAATCAGAAATAGGAGAAAAACTGACACATAAAACCACCACAAAAACGGATCCAAAGCAAACAAGAATCAACAATCAATGGTCATTAATATCCCTGAATATCAATGGTCTTTACCCACCTATAAAAAGACACAGGCTAGCAGAATGGATACGAAGACAGATTCCATCCTTCTGCTGCATACAAGAAACACACCTCAGTTTCAAAGACAGGTTCAAACAAAGGTTAAGCCTTTGACAAAATCTAACAACCCTTCATGATAAAGGTCTTGGAGAGATCAGGTATAACAGGAACATACCTAAACATAACAAAAGCCATATACAGCAAACCAACAGCCAGCATCAAGACAAATGAAGAGAAACTAAAGGCAATTCCTCCCACCTGGTCCCCTGTTCCCTTTGGTAGAAGAGAAGACCTGGGATCTGGAGTACTTGGATCCTGCTGGGATAGGAGGCTCTGTGGGAGTCCCCAGGCACTGGAAAGCACACCAGGATGTGGGGGCCTTGTTTACCTTGATCCTCTGGTTTCCTGGTCTCGTTAGTGGAAAAGAAGACCTGAATTCTGGGGTGCTTGGCTCCTGCTGTGAAGGGAAGCTCTGTAGCAGTTCCCAGGCAATCCCCAGGCACTGGATGCAGGGCCTGTTTTACCTGGTCTGGCTGGACCATCTGGCCCCCTGCTCTCCTTGGTGGAAGAGAAGACCTGGGATCTGGGGTACTTGGCTCCTGCCAGGATGGGAAGCTCTGTGGCCTTCCCCAGTCACTGGAAGGCACGCCAGGATGTGGGGCCTTGTTTACCTGGATCCAAAATGTGTCTATTTTTTATACTGTTTGATAAACATTGAACAAGGAATCCCCTTGCTGTGTATGTGGTGGAGGATCAAAGGGGTTTGTTGACTTCCAGACTGGCTGAGAAACCTGAGCCTCAGGCTCAGAGAGACCCTACCTCAAAGGAACAGGTAAAGAGTGATGAAGGAAGACAAGCAATGCCTTTTTTCTGGCCTTAGTATGGACACATCTTTTTTTTTAAACCACTGACTGCTCTGTGTACTAGGCATCTGTCCTAAGGATGTTATTAGGACTAGTTACCACCTAAGTGTAGATGTTGAAGCAAAAAATCTTGTAGAAACCAGCCACCTCTCTGATGTTAGGTAAGAGAACACTTGGGTACTTGGATTGTGAAGACTGTCTGAACAAAGGTTTTGAGAAAGAGAAGAATATATACTTCCAAAGCCACTAGGTAAGAGCTTACAATATAAGTGTTAGGCTATAGAGGCAAATCTTCTCTACTGATTGTCAATTTTCATCAAGTAGTAAAGTAATATGTTATACTGTAAAGTTCCTTATGGTTTTTAAGATAATAAAGAGGATATGATATCTACTGGGTAGACTGTGAGAACTCTGGATAACTAATCCTAATTTAAGTAATTGCCTTCTTTTTATTTTTTATATATATACTTTTTATTTTTAAGTTTAAATTTAAATTAGAAACAAGGTTGCTTCACATGTCAATTCCAGGTCCCTCTCCATTTCCCTCCTCTCCTTCGACGCCCTCCCACCAACCCCCCCCCAATGTCCCCTCATTTCCCCAGGGAGGGTGAGGCCCTCCATGGGGGTGTCCATAGTCTGTCATTTCATCCAGGGCAGGGTCTACACCCTCCCCCAAGAGTCCAGGGTGAGAATACATCTCTCATTGTTGGATGGGAGTCCAAAGTCCATTTGTATACCAGGGATAAATACTGATCAACTACCCAAGGTTCTTAATAAACATCTGTGCTAGTGGCCTGTAGCATCTTGCTGAGTCCCCAAGTGGGAGGAACACCTCCCACTATCATTTAGATTCATCTTTCCTCACTTATTCCATTTTCTATTTCTTGACTTTATTTTTCTTGTCATGAAATTTTTCTTACAAAAGGCAAACAAGTTTCTCATTAAGCCCATAATGGCTCCCTCTATTAAGGTATCTCTTTCATTGCTCTCCTTCTCTGTTCTTCCCCCAACTTGTCTTTCCTTATTCATCATGTTCTCATCCCAAATCCCCATCTCCCCTTCTCTTCCTCCTCCCTCCCTTCCCTTTCCCCCCAAAAAATTAAAAAAAAAACACTGACTGAAGGTCCCAGAATGGATGGTGAGGGGATTCATGAAGTCCCTCTCCTATCTAAGGACTATTGGTAACTCTCAGCTGCTGTTGAGGGAAGGGTCCGTTTTCTTCAGGAATGCAGCCTCTTCTCATGTTCCGGTAGGTGACCCCACACCCAAGCACATGCAGATGGCATTAAGAGGATTCAGTGGGTTTTTTTAAAAAATCACATGAAGTTGTGAGGAAATATGTGGGGAGGAATGGAAGAGAAGATGGGAGAGGAGGAATATAGGGTAGATTTTATTAAAACCTATCTATGCATGTATGAAATTCTCAAACAAGAAAAAGTAAATCGAAAATAGGAAACAATATTTTAAAACCTGCTGAAGAGATGGCTCAGCAGTTCAGAGACCAGAGTTCAGTTCCCAACAACTTCCAAGAGTACCTGCTGATACTGCTGACCACCCCAAGAACCAGTGCACATAACCACACAGAAATACATACTTATTCATCCAATTTTTAAAATAATAAAATTAGCACTTAAAACACACATTGCTACATGTGTGTGGATCCATTTCTGGACTCTTCATCCAGTCTATGGAGCTGTGTGTCCACCCTAACTCCAACCTGCACTGACAATGGGGGCTACGTAATACATATTGGGAGGGTAAGTCCTCAAGCTGTGTGTTTACTTTTCAAAACTGTTCTAGCTTATTCTGTGACTTTTGGATTTCCATTGAAATTTTAGAATCAGCTTCTTGGTTTCTATAAGAATTCTTCTGGACTCTGACTTGTCCACACTTCAACCACCAGCTTAGGCAGATGGCAGCTTAGAAACGCCCATGCATGTGGCAGCAGTGTCTTCATTTCTGTAAGCAATACTTAACTGTGTGGGCTTTGGTGCTAATTGGATGATACTGAAATGATAAATTTTGATGTTTAATGGTTTCTTAAAAGTATTACCTAATAAAACAAATATAGGCATTGACTTTGGTTCCTGAAACCCTGTTCGGCTGACTTCACTGCTGAGCCTGTAACATGTAAAGAGAAGAGACAGGGAAATAGAAGTACAAAACATCAGGGGAA